TCGAGCTTCGCAATATGACATTTTTCACAGAGTTCGAGTCTTATCATAACTATGCTTTCCATGCTTGAGATATTTAGAGAAAGAAGCCATTAGTTATCAATCAAGCCCTCATGTGGTTGGAAAGTATTTTTTTTTGTTTGTAAAATAACTTATTTGTGTTGGTTGAACATATGTATGTTGGTTGAGAAGCCATTAATTATCAGTCAGGATCGTCATTTGTTGAACTTAGGTCTGTTGGTAGAGGGAATGGAAAGTATTTGTTGCATTAGTTGATATATTTTATTTATATGATAGAATGTTCGGGTTAATTTTTTCATCTAAACTTAGAATAATTAATTAGTTTAATGTTGTTTATTATGCTAGCTTGTACTCAAAAATATTTTAATTTTTATCTTAGTTGAGTTGGAATTGAATGTGTAATATTTATAGGTGTTGGTAATCAAATAAATAAACAATTTTTTAAAAATTAAATTAACATTTCCGGCGTGCATTAAATGCTAATAGGGTCACCTTTCATAGCGTGCAGTCGCACGCCGTTAAAAGTAAAAAATTCGTATTTAAGACATGCACTGTACCCCGTAAAAAATCAAATAACTAATAACAGCGTTTGTATACGGCGTACATTGCACGCCGTAAAAATTGTCCAATTTTTACGGCATTGCTTTATACGGCGTGCGGTTGCACGCAGTAAAAAGTGCTTTTTGTTGTACTGATTGTTCTATGACTGTGACAGAGAGAAAAATTGAAAGAAACTGTCGCTACAGCAACCAGCAGAGTGTACATTTTCAATTTAGTCCCTAATAATGCTATCAAGTTGCTAGTTGTATCACATTGTCATTGGACTTGTTGCACCTAATTGACGTGTTGTATTTAATATAACTACTCTTGTCTTTGTGTAGAATCATGGATCAAAGGAATAAAATTCATAAAATTGAGAATGCTAAAATAATGTAGAAATGTAAAGTTGCTGCCGCAAGCTACCGAATTCAGATCACTACAGATATGCATACATGCCATTGAACATTCACTTACATTCAATATATGGAAGAGTGATATTATGATCTAATGTTGACAACAAAATAAGAGTGACATTCAGTTTTAATATCTCATAGCTTGTAAAACCATTGTACAAGTTGATAGAAAAATTTGCATAGATAACTCATAAGCACCCTGTAAGGGCATGCTCCGGAGTTTCAGCATATCGGTTATGAGCATTTTTAGAGTTTTGATTTTAAGCATTTATGAGTGGAGCAGTATTGAATGATTTTAATGGTGATTCTAAAGTGTTCAACCTATGCTTGGGAGTTAATATTATTCACCAGCTTTGAAGTTTTTTAAAAGAATAAAATTACATATATGTCCCTTAATAAAATTTTTAGTTTATAGTTTCTTATATTAAATATTTCTTATCCATAAATGATATTTTACTTATAGGTGATTTTTTTAACTTATAAGTTAATATTTTGCTTAAAAAATTAAATAAATTTAAATTTAATATTTTTTACTTATAAGTAAATTTTACAATTATAAGTTAATCTTATGCTTTTAAATAATTTTAAGTGAATTTCTACTTATAAGTAACTTTTTTACGTTTATAAGTGATTTTTTGTTTTATTAGTAGAATTTTTATTTTGTAAACATTTTTTTACATAAAAGTGATTTTTTACTTATCAATAATTTTTTAATTATAATGTAATTTTTCTTATCTTATAAGTAATAATTTATTTATATTTATTTTTTAATTATCATGTAATTTTTTTCTTATAAATGATTCTGTAATTAATATATTTTTCTTTACTAATTAGTTTTGAAGAAAATATAATGGTTGAAAATAATTACTTTATAGAGGATAAAACTAGAATTGAGTATGAGAAATAGCCAAAACTTGCCGATTTAGTGGGTTAAGAGATTTGGTCAAAATTACACTATCTCGATTTGGGGTGAATTTTAAATCCTCCAAAATCGATGCTTAAAAAAACTAGTGAACACCGATTTTTTCAACCCTTCATAAACAGCACTATCCAAAATGGTCAAAATCATTAATAATAATAATAATAATAATAATAATAATAATAATAATAATAATAATAATAATAATAATAATAATAATACTCCCAAGGAGGCCCTAAATGTAGTGTTTTAGGAAATTATTCACTAGTGTTATTTCTTATATCTTGAAAAAGAGAGGAAAAAATAAAATGGAATGAAAATAATAATATAAGAATACAGGTAGAAATCCGAATTAGTGCCCCGTGCAAATAAAATTAAACTAGAACTCAATATCCGACAATGGAGCCAAAAACTTTCAAAAACTTGTTGACAAAAATATTTTTCGAATTAAAATCACCTCAAGTGTACCGTTCATTAACAAGTAATAAAGTGAATTTAAGTTCAAGTATCATACCATAGAGATTGATTTAGTTCGATTTCAAATATCGCGACCTTAATCGAAAGAATAATAAAGTCATTCGTTCGTTTATGATGAAATTATAACTAAAATAATCGCCATATGCAATTATGAGTAAATTAACCTAGTTAAATACAAATTGTGTTGAATGCAAGTAAATGTGTTTTAATGTATGACAAACGCACTACGATCGCAAATTCTCATGCAATAATCATTTCTAACCTTTGTTCTACACCTTGATAATACGGTTGAATTTTGACGAATCAATATTCATATTTTATTCAAAAATCTCTCTGAAATAAAATCAAACATATTTTCGTATATAATTCAACTATATTTCTACGACGATGCGAAAATTCTGAATTCATTTACAATTTCTAAATGCGGTGGAATTTTGGCTACCTGCTACTCATTTAGAGTTTGTCATTGCCGTGATGCTTAAGGAATCACTAAAGAATTTTAGTGGTCATGATTTATTTATTGAGGAGCCTACATGCGGTGTTTGGTCTAGAGGCTCAAGGACTTGGAATGGTGGGCCCTGAGAAAATATTGAAGGAAATTGCTTGTGTTCAATATGAAGAACGTGCAACACGTAATTTATCAAATTGATTATCCTGAAAAATTAGATGAAGAACACTCTGCAAGATTAGAGGACAAATCTTCACAAATTGAAGGAGAATGATGAAGATTGAGGTTTTATTTATTAGTCATTATTTCTTTTATTCAATAAAATTTAATTTTAATTCCATTTATTTCGAATTAATTATGAATATTAGGACTTTTAATTTTGGTCATTATATTATAGTTTTAATAATTATTTAGATTCTAGTTATTTTTTTAAATAAGGATAGTAAGTCATCATGGCAAGAAGTGACTTTTGAAAGACATAATATACTTAAGAGTTTTTCAATATCTTAAATTTCCAATACTTGATATTTAAATTTAACAAGACAAAAATCTCTATATATGTGTGTGAGTCAAATATATATGACTAAATTTTTAGTATTCTTAGAAATTTATAAATCGTATTGCTGTATTCTTTTGAAATCAGTAGAACTTATTTGATCATAAATATTAACAAGAGATTTGAAATCACTTTAGAGTTAACATGAGTGAAAGACTCCTAACCAATGCTTAAAATCGTTCTTTTCTTTTTCTTAATTCATAAGAAATTGGAAATATTTCATCTTATAAAAGGATCAAAACTTATTATCGGTGTGGTAAGCAACCAAATATATATTTTTCATAAAGTCTTCGAAGTGCATTTTTGTAACGATATAGTTCTTATAGCATCTTCAACGGGCTCTTTAAATATAAGATATCTCTATTTCAAAAATTCAACCCTTAAAATTTTATATCTAATTTAATATTTTAAAATAAAAAGCGAGTTTGATTCTCTAAATTTGGAGAACCAAACACACTCACCATAATTATATGCATTCATTTTAATGGAGGAAAACAATATAGTAATTTGGAGGGAAGCTAATGAAAATAAAAGTAGAGAATACAATAAATATTTTTTCAGAGTAATAAATTAAGTGTTAAAGATAAAAAGTCTACTGAAGTATTTAAAAATTAAATATGCTCTTTAAAAATAGAGAGTCAATAGAAGATACTCTTACGCTAAATCTATCTACTTCATCACTACCATAATCTTGCCAACTCGAGCATGTAATTGACATTAATTGCAAAGCTAGTGCATTAACTGTTTCAGTACAGAGAATAGTAAATGGAGTTGGCAAAGATTATTTTCGTAGTAGTTTGAGAATTGCGAAAGCTTATTTTCGTAGGAGTATGATAATGTCATTAATATAAATTGTATCCTTTTTGTAGTTATGCGTATGCTTATAAATATAATATTTTCTCTTTATAATTAATATATACACCAAAAGTTATACAAATTTTACTATTCTTTTTCTAATTTTATGTCAAATCATATTAAAATAATAATCAACTAACAAGTTACAATTCATCAACTTTTAGTCACATGAACCACCCCCCCCCCCCCACCACGAGGAGTCCAAATTGCCCATTTAGTTGTTCACTCAACTCCTCACTACAATTTTTACATATCAAAATTTTAGAAGTTGCAACTCAAAAATTATAGTGGGTTTTAATGCCTTTAAATTGTAATGAGGCGATAAGATTGTGTCAGCGGACAACAAAAATGAGATAGAATATATGCGACCACCTTTTTTAAGCCAGAAAAAAAAAAAGGCTTAATAGATAACACATCATTACATTGCATGAATTTAAAGTTTCATTTCCATAAGGAAGATATCAAAAGCTACATATGTCAAACTCACACATCCTCGCTTTTATTCTTCTTGACTAACGTCTAAAATAGATTTCTGTCTGATTTCTTATTCAACTAGTACTAGATTATATATTTTGCATATGCATAAGCCATACTATAAAAAGGTTATTTAGAATAGCCTCAAAATTTTTTTATTCTCTCATACTAAATTGCCTCAAACCCTGAAAATCACAAGAAAAAAAATAAAAGATTAAAAAAGGAAGCACTAATCGCAAGAATTAATTGTTAAAACACAAATCGATAAATAATAAAAAAAAAAAATCATTAACGAACTAGAAATTGCAAGTTTGCCTACTGGATATAGTCGATGCGGACTCTCCCAGCCTTAAGATTAGCAATCCTCGAGAAGGCATCTTGAGAGAGAGTAATCTCGTTCGCTCCGCAGCCTGGGCAAAGATCTACGATTTTTACAGTTATTTCACCCCTTTTGCAAGGATGTGGTGTTTTGTTGGTGCCTCCCAAGCACCTAACTTTATACCTTCTTCCACATACTTTTCCACCATTGTACAACGTAGGATTAGCACCTGCTATCATGATGCCTTGGTTTCGGTTGCCATAGCATGCCGATGCTACAAAATGTATAACTATATGTGTAACTCTGTTGGAAGTCTTAAATTTGGATAATAGAGTTCTATAAAGAGCTGAAAATCATATAAATAATTAACATTTACAGGCTTAAATAAACATAAAATGTACACTTACGAAGATAAGGTCGAGCATAGTAAACAGAAGTTCCCTGCTTAGAAAGTACAACTGAGGCAAAACATGCCAACGTGCCCAAAAACATAAGATGTCGAATTTGACAGCCCATTTTCTGTATGTTCGAAGTACTAGTGCCCAGAGAGTATATGTTGTTTGACCCTTTTTATAGAGGCAAAAATGTAGAACTAGCCAACTGTTTCATGCTCATTGGATCGAACAAGTCAATCATTACATTGATGCTGTATCCCCCAGTTTCATTGTTATACTGTATATTGATTTCTAATGTGCATCATCTACAAGACTGAATTTTCTTTCAAGTCTTTCACTAACTACGCATCACATACAAGACTTAAAATTCTTCCAAGTCTTCCATTTACACTCTCTTTTGCTGCTAAGCTTACCCGGTTTGTGAGCAGATTTCCTTGGTAGAATATGATTTTCATGAAGAATTAGGTATCTAATAGCGCATTTATAAGTGCTAAGTCACTGTAAAAAGAAAGATATATAAACAATAATTTTAATTGGAACAAATTAAAAAATTCACAAAATAGACCCTATAATTTTTTATGTGCAAGAAAAATTTACAAAGAAATAAGGGGACCTTCCCTTACCTAGAAGAGAATGCAAAAATTAGTTACAAATTACGTGTCTACCAAGCTACTCCTAGCATCTAACCAAAACACTACTAATTAAATTACAGCCAACCACAATTTAAGTTTACGTTAAGTTGTGGAGCATGATTATTATCAAACCCTAATTATTGTCATTTCGCGGAGTTGGTTGCAGATCCACCTCCACGATGAGGCTATCATGGGGTTTGGAAGGGGGAGAGGCTGGCCCCCCCTTAGAGGTAGTGTGTGGAGCCCTCCAGATGAAAATTTCAATTAAGATATGTTTAGGAATTGTGTTGTTATAAGATTCCATGAAGTAATAGGATTGCTTGTAAAATTTGGTTTTGTCCTAATTTATCTTATTAAGAGGGAGTAGTCATTAAACTTTATATATTATCATCAAATAGATGGAAAGAGAAGTTAGATAAATACCTAATTAATATTTTCTCTTGTAAACATTTTTTTATCATAGTGAATTACTGTAGCGGCGAGAATGGGCTAGTTTCACATTGAAGTGAACTTCTATAAATCTTGCGTGTTCTTGATTGTTTATTTTCTTTCTTTAAATTGATTGCTACTGGTGGAAAGAATTATGGTTTATAATTCCCAACAATAGGTATAAGAACTTTAGGTTTTTTATTAAGTGCAATTACTGGTGAAGAAGGAACGTCGCTAGGGATCTATAATTTTTGATGGTATGGGTTTTGCATTTTGAAAGATGCAGTATTACAAACTGAATCCAAGAAAACATAGATGAAATCATAAAATCGCAGATTACACCATAAACCCTAAATCACAACATCAAGGCTTAGATCTTTCAATCGAAGGCTCAGACCACACCCATTTACCATCACAGAGGCACCGGGACTCAAAACGAACCCTCACAACCCAACACACCAAGGTCACTTCACTGGACTCAAGAAATCAAACTGCCTACCTTCGGTCGATCACTCACACAAAGGAGAATCACACAAGAACACAATTATCACAAAGATAATCAACCAGAAACCTCACAAAAAGAAGAAGGAAGGGTCACACAGACAAAGGAACTCGAAGGTTCCAAATGGCAAAGAGAAAGAAGAAAAACAGAAAGTGACGATCCAAGAGCCAAACAGGGAGTAAGGAGGATATTTATAGTAAATATCATCAACCGTTGATCAGCGGGTCAATCCAACGGTCCAAGAGCGACTAATGGTGTGTGGGCTGGATATTGGGCTCGGTTAAGTGGGCCTTCTAGGTACATATTTAATGGACCAAGTAATAAATCCAATTTGGGCCTTTTCATCATTGCCTAACAGTTGGACTGGATCAAATGGCATCACAGCCCAACAATGCAGTTTGAGGATTATTAGTTCCGTAAAAAATTACACCATCATCTTCTGAATGAAAAGTCAATAGGAATGACAAACAATGATTGAAAACTTCTTGATCATTAGTTATTGGGTATTATCCGATTGACAGTGTCGAGGAATGTTTGTCACAACGTTGCAATGGAGAAAATCACTGCATACTTGATGAAAGTACTGTCCGATATGTATGAGAAGCCATCCGCTTATAACAAAGTACATCTGATGAAAAATTATTTAATTTAAAGATGGCAGAAGATGCTCTAGCAGTAGCATCTCAATAAATTGAATACAATCATCAATCAGTTGGTTTCTGTCGAGATTATATTTGATGACGAGGTCTTTGCCCTATCCTATTAGCATCACTACCGGATAGTGGGAGCCTATGTAAAACTAAAATTTAGTGATGTTCATGATACTATTCATACTGAAGAATTTTGTAGAAAAGATTCCAGAGAATCTTCAATGTTGAGTTCTACCTTTAATGTCGAGAATAGGGAAAGAGGTTTCGATAAAATTTTCAATAAAGACAACGGTGGGATGTGGAGGAATGGTAAAAGTAAGTCCAAGTCCGGAAAGAATGTAGAATGTTGGAATAATGACAAAATTGGCCACATGAAGAAGAATTCTAGATCACGAAGAAGAAGGAAGAAAGGAATAAGATAGTTGATTGAAGAGGTATGAGAAGATGCTTTATTCTTATCAGTTCATGGTCTTATTGATTCTTTGGTGATGGATTTAGGAGTTTCTCTTCATACTACTGCATATCATGAGATTATGGAAAACTAAGTTGTTGGAAATTATGAAAATGTATACCTTGCAGATGGAGAACTATTGGATATTGTTGGTATTGGTGATGTCAGATTGAGGATGTCAAATGGGGATTGTACGAAAAATTCAAAAGGTGAAGAATGTACCTAAAATGATGCGTAAAACTAGATCTCAATTGTACAAGTTAATAATGTGACATTTGGTACTAGTTCTTGAGAAGTTACCAAGGGAGCCATGGTTGTTGCTCCAGTAAATCTGGACTCTTTATATCACTTCCAATTATAGAGACATGGTGCAATTGCTGATTCGACTATTCTTTCTAATTTGTAGCATTGCAGGCTGGGACACATGAGTGAGAAGGGAATGAAAGTACTTCAGTCTAAAAGGAAGCTATTAAGGCTGAAATCTGTTGAACACGATCTGTGTGAAAGCTATATTTACAGTAAGCAAAAAAATGTTAGTTTCTCTAAAATTGAAAGAGAGCCAAGAGCTACAGATTTGGAGTTGATTCATACAGATACACGGGGAGCTTCAACTTTTACTTCACTTGGCGGCTCCAGTTATTATGTGACATTTATCGATAACTCAAGCAGAAAGATACGGGTCTATTTTCTGAAGATTAAATCTGCTATTCTTTATGCCTTTAAGTGATGGTTGAAAACGAGATAGGTTTTGAAGGTGGAATGTTTGTAGTCAGATAATGGGAAGAGTATGTGGATGATGATTTCAAGAGGTATTATGCTGATAATGGAATCAAGACGCAGAAGACCATGTCGAGAACACCTCAAAAAAATGTAGCTGGGAGGATGAATATGACTTTGAATAAGTGTGTTAGAAATATGAGATTACATGCTGGGTTACCAAAAATGTTCGAGGATTAGGCAGTCAGCAATACAATTTACGTGATCAACAAAGATCCTTCAACTCCGTTAAACTATAGACTAGCAGAGGAGGTTTGGAACAATATAAAGGTAAAACTTTCACATTTGAAAGTGTTTGGTTGTGTTTCATACATTCACATTGATTTTATTGCAAGAAGCAAGCTTGAAGCTAAATAAAAAATGTATTTCTTTATTGGGTATGGTGATAGTGAATTCGATTATCATTTTTAGGATGATCAACTCGAATGGTTATTAGGAGCAAGGATGCGATCTTCAATGAAAGTGTTTTGTAAGTACAGGTGGAAAATCCATGAATTCAATGTGATTATTTTTCTTTCTAAGAATATGAACCATGCATTGTCTTGGGGGGCATACCCTAAAACATCAAGTCTTGAAGTTAAGAAACCTAAGGTGATCCTATTAAAAAATCTTCCTATGATTGAGTTAAAGAATACTGATGGTGAAAATCAAGAAAATATAACTCCAGAAGTACATCAAGACACCCATATGACTCTGCCCAGAAGATCCAGCACAACTTCAAGACCTTCACAGAGAAATTCTCTAGCATTGTATTATATTCTATTGACTGATACAGGTGAACCAAAAAGTTATAATGAAGCTTTACATGTTGATCAATCAATCAAAATGGGAGTTAGCTATGAGGGATGAGATGGACTCATTATTATCCAATCAAACATGGCAATTGACAGAGTTTCCCGACGAAAAGAGAGCGTTGCAAAATATATGGGTTTATCAGTTAAAATAAGAACATGATGGAAGCAAGTGGTATAAAACAATAATAGTTGTAAAGGGATTTCAATAGAAAGAAGGCATTGACTATATTGAGATTCTCTCTCTTGTGGTAAAACTAACTACAATTAGAGCAGCACTTGGATTTAAAGACGGCTTTTTTTCATGTTGATTTGGAGGAAGAAATTTACATGATGCAGCCAATGGAAAAATGAGTCCATCTCAAATCTTGAAGTTATGAGAACAGACAGTAAAAACTCAAATCTTGAAGTTATGAAATTTGTGGTAACTCCGTTGAAAGATCTTCTAGTGATTGAGTTGGGGAATACATTTAGTGAAAATGGAGAAAATATAGTCCCAGATGTACATTAGATACTTTTACGACTCTACCTAAAAGATCCAACAGAACTACTAGACCTCCATAGAGATATTCTCTAACATTACATTATATTCTATTGACTGATAGAGGTGAACCAAAAGTTGCAATTAAGCTTTACAAGTTGATAAGTCAATCGAGTGAGATTTAGCTATGAGGGATGAGATGAACTCCCCAATCAGACATGGTAATTGACAAAGTTACCATGATGAAAGAAATTTTTGTAGAATAAATGGGTTTACCAGTTAAAAGAAGAATATGATGGAAGCAAGCACTATAAAGCAAGATTAATTGTAAAAAGGCCTCAACATAAAGAAGGCATTAAATACTCTGGGAAGTTCTCTTATGTAGTAAAACTAAATACAGTTTGAGCAGTACTTGGATTAGTATTAAATGAAGACTTGCACTTAGAATAGTAGGATGTAAAGACAACTATTCTATGGCGATTTGAAGGAAAAATTTACATGCCACAAGGTTTCGAAGTATGGAAAAATGAGAAAATACGGTGCAGATTTCAAAGG